TTGCCAAGTACTCTTTCAATGTCTTGCGTTCCTCTAGATCGTTTCCCGTAACTATCATATCATCAACATAGACAATAAATATTGTAATATTTTCTTCCTTTTTCTTTAGAAACAAGGTATGATCATGGTTGCTCTTTTGGTATCCAAAAGCAAGCATTGACTTGGTGAATCTACCAAACTATGCTCGTGGCGATTGTTTTAGTCCATACAATGACTTCTTCAACTTGCATACCTTCTTGCTATGTGTATTCGGGATCCCACATCCTTCTGGTAGCTCCATATAAACTTCTTCAGACAATTCCCCGTGTAAGAAGACATTTTTTACGTCAAATTGTTGTAAGGACCAATCAAGGTTTACAGCTAAAGATAACAATACTCGAACTGTACTAATTTTGGCTACGGGAGCAAACATTTCAGTGTAATCTATTCCATATGTTTGTGTGTACCCCTTTGCCATTAATCTAGCTTTGAATCTCTCAATTGTGCCATCTGCATTAAATTTCACAGTATACACCCATCGGCATCCTACTGGTTTCTTTCCAACTGGACAATCTACTAATTCCCATGTTTTATTTCTTTGCAAGGATCTCATCTCCTCATTCATAACATCCTTCCACCTGGAGTCAGCTAAAGCTTCCTGCACACTGTTAGGAATAGATACAGTAGATAATTGACTTATAAATGCGATATTTGAGTTAGACAAATTCTGGTTATAAACATAATTAATCATAGGGTATCTTGTCTTACTGGTGAGGTCAGGATCATAAGTAGGCTTAGGGATAGCTCTAGTGACACGATCTGACAGAATTCTTTTTTCTGTATTAGGTTCTTCAGGGGACGATTGGTGTGGTATATCATTAGCATCAACAGACAAATTTTTGATCTCAACATGCTCAAAATCTTCCTCATTATGTGGTTGTTGATCATAACATTGTTGCATACTTTCATCATCTCTTGATAAAACTTTGTAACTTTCTTTTTCCAATCTGATCTCAATATCAATTTCTTGAGGAACAAAAGTCTGAACTTCATCATAATTCTCCCCCTGAATTTCAGACTCGGGGGAAAAATATATCAAGGTTTCATGAAAAATTACATCTATAGTAGTAAACATTTGTTTGGTTTGTGGATTGTAGCACCGATATCCTTTCTGGTGATCCGCATAGCCAAGGAACACACACCTTTCAGCTCTAGGAGACAACTTACTTCTCTGATGCTTGTGTAAGTGAACATAAGCAACACAACCAAAAACTCTATGTGTTAGTTCAACAATTTTAGGACTTACTACTGCATCTGTACGTGATTGAATAGGTGTTTTATACTCAAGAGACCTAGACGGTGTTCGATTGATAGTGTATACTGCATATGTGAGAGCTTCTCCCCAATATATTGCTGACATGTGAGCTCCAATTAGTGCAGTTCGGACTACCTTCAATAGATGACGGTTCTTTCGTTCTGCCACCCCATTCTGTTGTGGAGTACTTGGACAAGATCTTTGATGAACAATTCCTTTGGCTACTAAAATATGTTAAAGTTCTGATTGCATATATTTTCCTCCATTGTCACTGTGCAGTACCTGAATTTGTGCTTTGTACTGGGTCTCAATCATTTTGCAGAATTTCTGAAATAGTCCTCCAACTTCACTTTTAGACTTCATCAAACATAACTAAGTCATTCAAGTACAATAATCAATAAACGTTACAAACCACGTTGAGCCACCCAACGTTGTAACCTTAGATGGACCTCATACATCAGAGTGAATGATCATAAAAGGAAGAGAACTTTTATTTAAAATTAAAGGAAAATGTGTTCTATGACTCTTTGCAAGCTCACAAACATCACAATAAAAAGTTGAAGTGTCTACTTGGTCAAATACATTTGGAAATAATTTCTTTATGTAACCAAAAGATACATGTCCTAGACGCTTATGCCATAACCAAATATCTTCGCCTTTTCTTACTTCTTGAGACCCTTTTGTTGCTAGCACTTGACCAAGTATCTTTGAATTTTTTTTCTGTCAGGTCCAGGTAATACAACATTCCTCACCTAATACCACAACCAATCGCCTTCCTCGTTTGAATATCCTTAAAAACACAAGAGTTAGGATAAAAAATTACAACACATAAAAGAACTTTGGTTATTTGCGAGACTGACAATAGGTTATATTTAAGAGAAGGAACAACAAGGACACTATCAAGATTCAAATTGTTTGAAATAAAGATAGTTCATTCTCCAATAATAGTGGATTTACTACCATTGACTGTGGATATACTTTTTTGTGATGAATGTTTAAGATTTTTAATTTGTCTAACATCAAAAGTCACATGATCAGAATATGCAGAGTCAATTATCCATGCATTATTCAGAACGGTAGATGTGCTTATTAAAGCCTTACCATTAGAATCATCACTACCTGCGATTATAGCAAGCATCATGCCTTTGTCGTCCTCTTTGTCAATGACAGTTGCAGCAGCAATTAGATTTCTTTTTGAATTCTTCTTCGATGCTCGACTATGATCCCACCACTCGGGGTATCTTATGATTTCATGTCCATCCTTATTACATTGAGTACACTTGTAGTTACCTTTTTCAAAATCTTTTGATTGCTTCGATTTACTGTGGTGATTTTCTGGCTGCTTCTTTGTCATCATAGTTGTGGAATCAGAAATCATATCTTCTGTTTTCAACGTTGTTCGACGGACTGTCTCTCTCCGGATCAATGCATAACATTCTTCTAAATCAGGTGCTACTTCTTTACGCAAGATTTCTCCACAAACTTGCTCAAAATCATCATCTAGTCCAACAAGGAATATATGCACCCTTAATCTTTCAATGGACTTCTGATATGACTTCACATCATCAGGGTCTTTCATGACTACTTTGTCACGATGGTCCAATTCCCTAAAAATCTCAACCAACTTTCCATAATATCCAGTTAAGGTTCTATTATTTTGTTTTATAGTGAATGCCCTTTGATTCAGGGCAAACACCTGTAGCTCATCACTTCCATCATAAAATGCCTTTGACAAAGTATTCCAAATATCAAGGGCAGTGGGTAAGCGAATATACCTTTTCATAATTTCTTGCTTCATGGACATCAATAGCCATCTTTTCACTTTTTGGTTTTCAGCATACCATTTTTCATATCCCTCATCGTTTTCTGTTGGAGGCTTCACCTTCCCACGGATATAGGACAATTTTTCCCTCTCTGCAATGTGCATCTCCATTAATTATGACCATACGTCATAATTGAATTTATTTAGGATGATGCATGCGTTGAAGACACCTTATTGAACAACCATTAGAATTAGTTTTTCTGCCATCGCTCCAGTTAAGATCTCCAATGATGTTGAAAGAAAAAGAAAAAAGTTATATGCTCTGGTACCAAATTAAAAAACATAGAATTCATTCTATATTTTTATTCATATTATTTTTGTAGACGTGTACTATGATCTTATAGTATTTTATTCTAACAAATCAGAACTAAATATAAAAAGTTGTGATTATACAATATTTTGTACCGCTGTACAACCCTATAGTTTAACTAATCAAATATTTTTATCATGGCAAACCAAAGAAATTGGAAGTTAGTTGCTTTTGACAAAAAAATCAAAATGGCGTGCGCTACCTTTCTCTCGCCTCAGTTTTCAAACCAGACTTCCTCAGTCTAATGATTGGTTGCTGGAGCATGTTCATCGTTTACAAAAGTTAGGAAGGGAACTGAACACTGAATGTCACAAACTTTTGTTGAACTTTAGAAATTTCAGTTCTATAGTATAAATTTGGAAGGCACTACTTCACTTACAAGATCATTTAAAAACATAGAATTCATCCACTGTTTGGAAAGTTTTTGCCTCGTGATGTTCAACGTGCCCTTTACTCATACAATTTTGATTATTTTTATTGTTCTCCAAGATTTAGACTTTTTCAGTTAGGAAATGTTTAATTTGGTTGTTTATTTCAGTAGACTAATTTGTCATAATGACAAGAAGTTGAGAACTAGAAAGATTCTAGCTGCAATATGTGTATTGATTGTTACTCCTTTTGTTCTGTTTAATTTTTCATTACGTGGGAATAGCAATAAAAATAAATGAAAGTTAACTAGAGTTTGTAAAAAGTTCTTATGAAGCAATGGAGTAGGCACTGATATTTGGTATGTAGTAGCTACCATCTGTCAACCATTCATCACAAATTAAATTCCATCTACCAGCCCCTCGGTTAAAAGTACCTTGAATTTTTTCATCCTTATGTTTTTCTCCTTATTGCATGGTACAAAATGAGATTCACAAGATCAAATTTCTTAAATGTTTGAGGGTTTCCAAAAGTACGAAAGAGTGTCAACTAAGCTACAAGCTTTAATGCTCATACACAGCCACGTAGAGTATATATCAACTTGGCCCTTCTTGTGCTTTCTGGACATAATTACAAGTGCCAAACACCTTTTCATATTCACTAACGCCATCATCGTTCTTAACTTATAATAACCAAAATCTTGTTTAGATGCTAGGTGTATCATATTTTTTCACGTGAATGCTTTATAATAAGATTATTTTACCTTGCTTATTTAAAAACAAAAATTTATCCATCACTATGTGATTAATAATTATCTGATTATTGCTATTCTAGTCTATAAATAACACCGCAACAGCTGAAAGATCGCGTGTTTGTCTGTAGCAACTAATAATAAGCACCATAAAAATTGTGATTAGAGATTAGTCAGACCAACTCACCTCGCCTCACTGTTCTGACACAATTTTTCATTCAAAGGAAGTCAACATCTGTACAGAAAAAGGTGTACAAAAGTATGCCTCAAACAAACTCATTACATAAACTAAAAAGAAAATGGGAAAAAAGGGTGGGAGCATAAGCAACCCCACCACCACCAGCACCACCAGTCCACCCTTCTTTCTCTTCAATGTAGCAACCTTATTTGGATTTGGACAAGCTTAGCTAAGAAGCATACCCTCCTGAATTAAGCATTTTGGTATCTTCAGCAAAAAATGGAGAATAGATGCATTCTAGCTTTTTTCATCCTCATTCTACATGCAAGTACAACAGAAGCTGTCTTCAGTGGTGGTGGTGGTGTAGGTATAGGTGTAGGTGTTGGTGTTGGTGTTGGCAATGGAAATGGTGGTGGTGGCAATGGTGGAACGGTTTGGGTTGGAGGAGGAATTAACAGCCCTGAGCCCCCTGCATCTTCGGTGCCAAAGCTTGAAGCGGCTTACACAGCTTTGCAGGCTTGGAAATCTGCAATCACTGAGGACCCTCTTAACATTTTAGGAAGTTGGATTGGGCCGAATGTGTGTTCTTACAAAGGAGTCTTCTGTGCAAATCCTCAAGATGAAATGGTTGCATCAACATTCCCAGTTGTCGCAGGCATAGATCTCAACCATGCAAATCTGAAAGGAATTCTTGTCAAAGAGCTCTCTCTACTCAGTGATTTGTCTCTTCTCCACCTCAACAGTAACAGATTCACTGGCACTGTTCCTGATACATTCAGAGACCTGGTGTTTCTGGAAGAGTTAGACCTCAGCAACAACCAACTTTCAGGTCCTTTCCCTGCTGCTACGTTGTACATGCCAGGCCTGATCTACTTGGACCTCAGATTCAACTACTTCTCTGGGGGCCTCCCCGAGGAACTTTTCAGCAAGAATCTGGATGCAATATTCCTCAATAACAACCAATTTGAAGGTGAAATTCCCCAAAACTTGGGTAGTTCCCCTGCCTCGGTGATAAACCTGGCCAACAACAAGTTGAGTGGAAACATCCCAGCAAGTCTGGGCTTCATGGGTTCTAAAATAAAGGAGATTCTGTTCCTCAATAACCAGTTAACTGGTTGCATCCCTGAGGGAGTGGGGCTATTCACAGAGATGCAAGTTCTAGATGTGAGCTTCAACTCACTTATGGGTCATTTGCCTGACACGCTATCATGCCTGCAAGACATAGAAGTTCTCAATTTGGCCCATAACAAGCTCTCTGGGGAGTTATCAGATATAGTCTGTTCTTTGAGAAATCTTGCAAATCTAACTGTTGCTTATAATTTCTTTTCTGGGTTCAGCCAGCAATGCTCAAGGCTTTTCTTTAGGAATGTGGGTTTTGATTTCTCCCTAAACTGCATTCCTGGGAGGGACATGCAGAGACCTCAACCTGAGTGCTCTGTGATCCCAGGTGGTAGCCTTAGTTGTCTCAGAATCCCCACTCCAAGGCCTCTTGTTTGTGGGTCAATGGTTGTAAGTAAGTCTAAGCACATTGATCCCATTTCACCATCTCCTTGATGGTAATTGCATTATTAGTTACATTACAGGTTGGTCATAGCTGTTCCATTAATTACTGCTACCAATCTTGATTCACATTCTGCTAATTTAGCTCTTCAAAGATTCCTTGTGCATATTCGTAATTATACTTGGCGTGCACGGGCAATACATGCCTATATTTTAAAGGAAAATTATTTGCGATGCAGTGCTTCCGGTATCCATACTCTATCTATCTTGAACCCACATCATGAATGATGGATAGTTTAATTTATGTTCCTCGTGACATGTTTGCTTGATTTTGGTTACTTTATTTTGTCCTGGTTTATCACGGGTTCTCCAATTATTCCATCAACAACTTCACTAACTCCATTCGACAAGACCCTACTTGATAGCTTTCTGAACAGTTAAATTTGCACCACTGTAATGCACTATGTTACATCACAAGGTTATATCTAAATTACTTTCAAAGGTCCACCTGTCCAAATTCAACTTCAATCATACAAGTTAGGAGATTGCCATTGTGGCTTGGTAATACTACAAGATAAACCATTATTCGACAGGTATTAATGCGGCAATAAATATGTGTACTGCATAGATTGCACATTAGAGGTGCCCTTGTTTTAACAATCCAACAAATTTAAACTATTCAGAGCTATGTGGTGATAAAATATTCATATAATATTTTAAACTTTTCTTTTAATACATAATGACAAGATAATAATTAAAAATGCAATATATTGATATTCTGATAAATAAATAACATTCTACACTTATTTTTTGTTTAGTGAGACAACTATTGTGAAACTGTTATCTAAAAAATATTTAGAATTGATCTCAGAAGATTCAATAATGTCGATCTAGTTAGAGGTTTAAATAATTTGCATGGGCTTCAAGATTCACACTTCAGAACCATTATTGTACACTAGAAAGAAAAGAATAATTCCTCAGTTTCATATTACCATGTTGCAACACACAACAAGCATTACATTACCATGAAAAATCATGGTCGGGTACTACAACTGGCAATCGTGAAAAATAATAGAGATGTCTGAGAAGACATTTCTATGGAATATAATACATTGGGTTTGGGAGTTTGAAAGACCGTTCGGCCACTGCATAACCCCACAAATCACTCCACTGATCCCCAGAGCTACCACGGATCCGGTAACCTTCACTCTCCAACTCTTCTCTCTTCTCAGACTTGTAAATAGTGGCTGATTTCCCTTGATCAGAAGACCGTCTGTTTCATTAACAACGAATTTCAGATGAAACTAACTTATTCAATAAAACAAGACATATTTTTCCAAGAACCAGTAATTTATACCTTAAGATAAGTCTCTCCCAATTTCTGTACCCTGAAAGCAGAAGGTTTGCCTCTGTAGCATTCCTTTGATATTCACTCCTCCCAGTTAAGAGAAATATCCTGAACCCCAATTCCTTAAGCTCGTTGTACAAAATCAAATTGGCTGGCAAAGCTGGGGCCGCAGCCAAGTTCACCCAATTATTGAAGGAAGTCTCATTGAAGATCTCAAATCTGCAGTTCGAAGTTAGAAACATAAATCCATAATCAACTTCAACAAAGAAATTCTCACAAGCAACTGCCATGTGTTACGAAAGAACACATTTTTTAGATTTCAGATTTCACTCATTTTTTAATTGAAAGAAATAACACAATTCTTTCTGCTAAACTAACTTCCCACTAGTAATAGCAACCACACAGCATTTATTCATTAATCCCCTGAAGATTTCATAGATATGAGACTGAGAGTCATTGATATTTGATAAAATCCCCTTCCTTGTAATACTATGCTAGTTATAACTTTCAATTACGCTTTACCTTTAGGCAAGGTTTTCAATCAGTCAAAATAATAACCCTTAACAATTACAGTTGCAGAAACCCAACTTCTAAACAGTTTAGATTTTCTTTTCTTAGAGGCTAGTTATATCGAGTGCAATACATCCACGACTTTTAACGCCCATCAGAACTTTCATCCAAAAGCAGCTTTTCAACTGAAGATTTCCACAGCAACATCAATGATGAGCTGTTTTGAAATACAAAACAAAGATGTATTTGAAAAAGTTTATTTACTGTTATTGAGGCCTAATAAATGGAATAAACACTTTTTTAAGTGTTTTTAAAAAATTATGATATGAAAAACAATTTAGGCTGTGTGTGGTTTTAAGTTTGGATTGTTCCAAATTCAGCTCGGAAAGAAAATTCAACTTTAAAACATATTTGATTACTCTTAAAAAATATGTTTCTACAATAAAATATTGCCTGAAATCTCAGTTTTATGGAAGTAAGACTTTGGTTACTCTTGTAAACTTTACAAATTTAATCTTAACCCAAACATAAGTTTACAAAGTTTAATCCAAACATAAGAAAACAAATTTTAATCCAAGACCCTTTTATGAACATCAATTTAATCTTGTTTCCACTCCAATTATAAAAGTAACTTCCAAATAAATAATTTAATAATAAGTACTTATTTAACACAACGATCATCCACGTAAATTATTTGATCAAATAATTAAGCTTCAAACCATTTTTTGTATGCAGTAAACCATTTTCTCGCCACTAAATGGAACGATTTAAATAGAATAAATAAACTTAGATATTTTCTTGGCAAGCTAATGTAATTTATATTATACTGACTTGGATAAGGCATAAGAATTGCACTACCTAAGAATAAAATAGTTACAGCAAGCATGTAAGCGTATAACAATGACATTGCATCATAATTTGAGCTACCCATGCATCTGTTTCATACCATTGATCCACCCATTCAGGATAAGCATCATACAACCCATCCTCTTTGTCTTTTTCTTACTTTCTGTAAAAAAAAAATTCTAAGCAAATCCATGCAGAACTTTCAACCCATGTGATAAATTTGGACATTATATGGCTGTTAGTGCAAATTTATAATTCTCACTTTTTACAATAACGAGCTCTTACTTAATGCACACTTTTTTAACAATGTCTAAGATTTCATAAAAATGGACTTTCTGTAGAGGATTCAACTACTAATGTTCACATGAATGCCCAGAGATCTAACAATTCCAACATTGATTCTTTCAAACGTGTCAATTGGGCAAATGCATCTACAGTGACTACAGTAGATGTAATTGGAGTATATCAATAAACTTCAATACCCTCTTGTAGCAATGTTTAGGTTAGAAAATACAGAGTTTCCGTAGAAAAGTATACTATCAAAACAGCATTTTATTTCCATTCAATAATTACTATTATGAGTAATTGTTTTAACGATGGTTTAGCAAGCAATGGGACCCTAATGAGGTTGAAGACAAAACACACTCCAATCAAAATCCAAGTTCTCCAAAACGCAAAAACCCAAAACCAATCATATTCATCGTCATTATTATCATCATCATCATCGCTTACCCGAATCCAGTTTCTTCGTAGTAAGGTACGTTGGAGAGGAGCGTCTCGTCGATGTCGAACACCCAGGCGTCTCTTCCATCTCCGACCAATCTCACGCTCCTCGCGAATGCCAACGACAAATTCCCGACCACGTCGCAGTCCCTCCGGTACCGGCCTCCGGTCATGTACTCCGCCACGAAATTCACACAATTCACCGGAACGCGCTCCCACGCCCCCGCGTTGTTCGTCTCCACGGCCAGCCTCCAGCTGTCGCAGTAATCGCTCGAGATCGCCTTCTCCGACGGCAGCCTCAGGATCGGCTCCGAACGAATGTGGCTGACCGTTGAGAGCGCCACCAGCAGGGACAGCAGGCACGCGCCGGAATCCATCGCCGGAAACACGATAAGCCTTCTAAAGGACTCGGTCTCCGGTGACTACTTTTTCTTTTCTTTTTTATATATAAAGTAAAAAGAGAAAGAAGAATTAGTTTTTAATATGCAACTAAATTGAACAATGATCCCCTTTGTTATCGGGCTAGTTTATATGAGGTTATCAAAGATCCAAAAATATTTACATCCAAATTCTAATTTTATTTTTTATCTTTAAAAAATAATAATTTATTTTAAAAACAAACTTATACAATAAAACAGAAAAAACAAACACATGGTCTAGCATGATTTTTGTGTTTTGGCGAGTTAATCCCTCGTCGAAATTAAATTCAATAGGATTAAAAAACTTGTGTTAATATAAATTCTAACATTTCAAATAAATATTTTTAATTATGTTTCTAAACTTGAAAATATAATTTATTTTTTATTTTCATAAATATATTATACATTCTTTTATGACAATTATTTTTATAGAAATAATTATAACATTCTTTAAAAAATATTATTCTTACCAAATTAGTTTTGATATACAAGAAGACGAGATGATGAAATTGGTGACTGAATTCCGAGTTTTAATTTGAGAAGATTGAGGTATTTTTTCTAAATAAGAGAGACCTAAAAAACCAGGTTCAAATCAAATGAGTTATAAAATGAATTTTACTTCTTATCTAAGTCTTTTTATATAATAATTAAAAGATAATAATAGTTTAAGATAATAACAGTTTAATAATATTATAATCGTTTTAGATAATAACAGTTTATAAGTGACTAACCGATTAATATACAATAACAAAGTTACATTAATATAAATATAAGATAATTAAATAAATAATTTTAATGAAATTGGGTCAATGATGGCAGATATTAGCCTAAACAAACATAATTTTTATTACTGTCACTCTAATAATGTGAAAAAATGAGTAAATTTTTGAAGTTATTCATCAAAATAAGTCTAACTACGTGGAAGATGCAACACAAATCAGATGCATTAGTGTTATAACAAACGACATTACGATGAAAACATCATGATGGACATGTAGCTATTACAACAGATAATAATGAACATAAATTGAAGTGCAGTTTGGATAATTTATATATGCAACTATGTTCCTTCAATGGTCACCATAATACCACTACCAAACCAATGAAATGCCAGAAATTTGACTACAATTATCAGTATTACATGGGTTAAAAAATATTACTAAATTATTGATATTGAGTTTCTTAGAAAGTATTTGGTTAACAGAATATTGAAACTTGAAGTACTGTAGAAGAGTTAATTAGGTGGTTTTGGAAAAAGTAACACGCGCTAATTGGCATGAGATTCAGAACCAAACATCAATGGAAAAACATTAAAAAAGGAATAAATAGAAATTTGAATATATAAACAGACATTTGCCTGTGTTTGTTTGTCTGTACACTTCAGTACAAAAAATGCTGCTAAAATCACGCTCATAATTCTGCTGTTTAGAAAACCCAACCACAACAAAACTAGTAACTCTGATTTCCTAACAACATCTAGAATCGGCCAAAGCTGCAAATACTTGATTAATTGCAAATCTATCTATGCTCAAACCAAAGTTTCCACCATGGATCAAGTAGGGAACACATTGGCTATCACTGCAGCAGATGGTAACTCATAATTTAAGGACCACAATTCAATATTTCACATCAAGCAGGTTAACTAGGGAAAGGAAACCTGTTCTTCATGGCAAAGCTCTTTCCTCAGTTTATGAGAAAAGAGCTGGCATGCATCCATGCTAAGATCAATGGCAGCAGAGAGTGCAATGAACAAAGCAGCATCAGCCATGCATGTCACATGCTGTGCCCCAACTTGCACCACAGGTTTGCTAACTTTGCCTTCACCCTCCACAGTTGAACCCATCACAAACCCTTTTCCTGGTAACCTCGAACTCAACCCAGAATCCCTCATCACTTTGTAGTCAATGCAGAATTGGCCACCCTTTTTCACATTCATTGTGGCCTCAGCAATAGGTATGCCATTGACAGGTCCATTCTCAGCGACAAGCTCAAACTTGTATCCCAAGCCATCAACGGGACCTCTCTCTCGCCATGCTTCTAGACGACCCCATGGCTTCCAGCTACTCACGGAGGCTCCATTGGGGCGCAGAATCAGCCATGCACCTGGGTTTGATCTTGAGACTCTATCTGAACCAGGAGAAGGGACAAATGGGGTGATCATGGAGGCAGCAGCAACGGGTGAGCCAGACAGATCATGGATCATTATCATCCAACCCTTTCTCTCTCTCCCATGACGCTCTCTAACACCCTTCAAGGTTCTCCTCCATCTACTGGGGTTGTTCCCAAAATCTGAGGGTAGAGGCCTGAATTTCCAACATTAATTGAGAAACAAATCATGAATAGTGTATCAGATATATTATACATATCCGACAAATTCCCTTTTGTTGGTCCACTGAAAAAAAAGTTTATATATTTTTACATTACACACGTTTATGCATCTCATACATATGTAATCAAATTAAATTTCCATAACTTCGTCAAAAGACTGGAATGTTTCATATCTTCGAGTATCAATATCAGATATGTACCTTACACGAACAGGTAAAGAGAATAAAAGGATATGCTGTTCATAATTAAGAAGTATAATTAAATTGAAAAGCATATGTCAAAATCAGTCATTAATTAAGGTACGACAAGAAACAACCTAATGAAAGATGTCAAACGTGGTAGGATAATAAATTATATGAGATATTGATACTGCAGGCAGATACTAGCACATGGGAGGGAATCCACGGCTGTTAAGTTTCACAGTTTGGAAAATCTCGGCCTGTCTGTTTGACCAAACCTGAGTATATGCAGCCAGATATGTACTACTACTGCCACATGCAAGGAAAACTTTATTTGAACTTGTCAAACATTTGTGAGTAATGAATCCTCGCAATTATCTATGATTAAATACGTGTTTGTGTCTGAGTTATAGTTAATTCTTCCATAATTGATTCTAACTGTACAATTTGTGGATTAGAAAACACTGAAAGACTGGAATAATGTTGTGAGGAGGAGAGTGACAAAAAGTGAGATGTGAGATGAAAAATAGATGCATGAAAATGAAAGTTTTGGGGTAGCACTGGCATTGTGCATGTTTGTTTCAGGAGAAATGGAAAGAGAGACAGAAAGAAGCATGAAAATGAAGAGAGGTGGATAAGGTGAGAGGAGACTAAGCATGTGGTGATGGTTAGGCACCAACTTCCTAGATATGGACAACCCAGCCAGCCCACATGCCTAACCCTCACCTTAATTCATTACTAGAATTAATCAAATATATTAGCCCCACCACCCTTAACTTTGCCAACCCACACCAATAATCCTTGCATAACAAACCTTTGCTAATAAGCACATAAATTCACGTTCACTCACCTTTCTTAGTCATAGTTGCTATGTTTTAATAGTCACATAAAATTTATTCATGTTGTTCTTATCTATAAATAAAAGATTAATATAAGACAACTTTTAAGGAAAAAAAAAACTATAATGGCACATTTTTAGTTTTTATAAATAAAAATAACTAAAAGGAAGTGATTAACTTAATTATTTTTTAAAATATATTAAATTAATGACTTTTAAAATATTCTTCTCAATATCTATTTATATAAAATATAAATACTTATAATATTTAACAAAAGTAAAAATATATATATATATATATATATAAGTATAAAATTATATAAACATTATAAAAGGTTAGGGAATAATACATCTTAAAACTAAACAATAGAATACCAAATAATTGAATGGAACAAAGTGTATACATTTTTACATCCATTAAAACTTAAAACCAAGTTCTTAGATTTAATTTTTAAAGTTTTAAAAATTAAAAAAAATTACCACATGGTAATAAATGATTAAACGAATATCTAAATAAGCCGAAACTTACATGCAGTCTCTTAAGTACTTTTTGGATAATTTTTTAATTAAAAATTTGACTTTATAATAAAGTTTAGTATTATTGAAACTTTAATTGAAGAACAATATAAAAAATACACACCGAAAGAAATTGTAAATAAGTTTGTTCTATGTAAAAGAACTATATACTCTCCCTCAAAACAAAATTGACTAAATTTCAATTTCAACGACCTGATATTCACTAAAAACATGAAGAAGAAAAAATTTGAATGAAAAGTAAATTTTCTATTTCTCTTTGTTTGCAATGCTAAACAAGAATTAGAAAGATACTTAGTTTAGAAAAAATGTAAATGAAAAAAAGGTGAAAAAGATGGAGTGTATGTGTTAGAGTGGTTGGTTGATTCAGGAAGCATGGCAGAGTAGCGAGAATAGAGTCATTGAAAACTAAAATGCACCATAATATTAATATTGATATTAATAATAATAATAATAATAATAATAATGTTATTATTATTAGTATTATAATAGGAAGAAGAAAAGTGGTTCAGACACTCACCTCGATCTTGAGTTACGATCTGCGCTGAACTTACAACTGAAGACAGGCTGTCTGATATTATTCTCCTGAATCTGGAAAACCACCGGGCTACATTCCGGTTCGCCCCCGAACTGAAACACGAACCGAGGATCCGGTTCAGACCGGACCACAATGTGGAGCCGAGCCGAGGGCTTTCGGTTCGGTTCGGAACCGGTTTTGATCCTCCGAAGACTGAGCCAGCCGCTCTGAAAGGTGGTGGGGCGGTCCCGCGCGGCGGCCAGGTCGAGAGTGAGAGTGAGGCGGCCGAGGAGCTTGGCGGCGGATACGCCGCAGGCGCGGGCGGTGCTGCCGGAGTATACGGCGAGGCGGAGTGAGAGGGGGCGGCGGAGGGCGGCGGAGTCGAGATGGAAACCGGGGGCGGAGGTGACGGCGTCGGGGGTGGAAGAGGAAGAGGGGGAGAGAGGGAGAAGAGCGGTTTGGGAGGGGAAGTTGGTGATGCGGATTTTGCAGAAGCATGGGGTGGTGGAAGGGTGGACGCCGGAGATTGGTGGGGGTTTGGTGGCGGAGGGAAGGCTTAGAGCGAGAGAATCTACCATGAGACGCACGAAGTGGCAAGGATCCATTGTTACTGGTAAAACCGAAACAGAAAAATGAAAGAACCTCTTCTTACGTTAATGGGTTTTCCAAGACATATACGTAGTACTTGTTGTGTAAGAGGAGAGGAAAATGATGCTATGTTAAGTTACAATTTCACTGCTCTCTCTGTCTGTGTTTCTGTTTCATTTGGATGTGGTGTGTGATCTTTTTTGTTTCTTGGGGGGTTTTCGAGAAGACAATGACGCATGGTGAAGGTTGTGTTCTGACTGCTGTGGTATACTATGATGGTGGAGATTTATAGTTGGAGAATCCTTGTTCTTTTTGTAAAACATGTTTCCCCGATATTTTGTAACAAAAATTTATTAATTACAATTAAAGAGTATTAAAAAAGATGTGATCTTTGTACTTCTTAAGATGAAAATCAAACTTTGATGTTTCAATATAATTACGATTTATTATCATGTAAACTTAATATTTTCTATTGTAAGATTACTTTGCGTGTTGGTTTTGGTTTTCTCCTTCCATATTCATTTTCTTTTTAATTTGCATGTTTGCACCATAACAGCTAGGTGGAGTATTATGTCTGAAATTGTCTTCATCCCAGTGTATCATGTGAAGAATAGTTGTTATCATTTGTCTTCTAATGAAAAAAATTTATTATACCACAAACACGATTCATTATGCTTACCTGCATAATTAATTATATGTTTTACATAATCCATTCAATGGAACCATGTGGTTAGATTATATTCTCATAGACTATCTATTACTTCATGGTACATAGGAACAGTTTGGAATCATTTCACCACTCTTAGTACTAGAAAATAGAATCGAAGTTCCATTCAACTATTGTTATTTATTGGTCAACCTAATTTTTATATTCAACAAAGATTGGGTTTTTAAACTACTTTCAATGTTCATAAGAACTGAACTAAAAAACAAAAACTTCACTAGTAATTATAAAATTAGTTTCAACTATTACACTATCTTTGGAAAGGGAGTATATACATTATGTGTACCTAAAGTTTTCACTTTATTAATTATTATATTTAATTATGAATATTTTTCCTCCCACATTGAGTAAAGAAGAAAATTTAGTAACCATTTTAGTATTTTTAAGAAATTAATTTAATTGTAATTTTCAAAACATAAAATTAATGTATGGTTCTATTGAAGTTGGTGGGTCCAAAACAGCTGGATTTTGGCTGTCATGACATTGTAAAAGGAATTCGAATGGATTGGATTTGGACAGACAAAGACTCACAATTTATTTTTTCTTTGCAGAATCAATTGTTGCTGTACAATTTTCATTTCCCTCCTTCTATATAATATTTGACTTGACGGCGCAAATTTTTTTATTATTTAAAAATATATTGAGATGATAAATAATAAAAAATGACACAATCTCAATTTTATATATATATATATATATATATATTAAAGGTAGTTTTGGATAATTTTATTCTATTAGCATGTTTTGATGAAAAAAAAAACACTTTTTTAAAATTTTCAATTAATTCATATTTTTTATATGACTTGAGTGGGAAGTTACTTGGTTATCTAAATCCAGCTCGTAAAAAGTTGGAAAGCTATCTCTATTGCCCCAATCTAATAATAATAATCTCATTTTAATCTTAATAATAATAATTGATTACACTCCTAAAAATTATGTGTATTTTTTAATTTGATCATTTAATTATTATTTTATATCTATGATTAAAGTGATCTATGTACCACATTATTTTGTCTAGCTCCAAAATTTTAAAAAAATGGTAAACATCTTTGTTAATAACTGTTTAATTAAATTATAAAATAAATTCAATATAAGAGAAAATACTATATGATATTTATACATAATTTAGAAATCTAGAGTTAATAGATAATTTATATTGTCTCTGTTGGAAGATGAAAAAGGTAAAATTTTAAAAATAGATAATATCTTATAAATTTATTAGATAATTTATATTAATTTTCGACTGTAAGATGTAAAATTGGAAAAACATGTTATAATAATAAAAAAAGTAAAAAAGAAAAGAAAAAGAGTCAATGATTATTTTATTGAAGATGAGATGAAAATAAAAAATTAAAGATGAAATATATATATATATATATATATTAAAATTAAAATATAAAAACAACTTCTATATACCAATTATGTTATGATCTATTAAACCTAGAAATGTTTTGCATAATTCAGCGAAGGAAAGTGTGGAGTTTGTCGTAGTGGTCTTGTACCAAAGAACGTTCATTGTATGGTGGATCCTATGCAAACCAAATCTGGCATCTGTTACATCAATGTTTCTGCCACTATCGCGACCACAACGTAGGGACAACCTTATGGTTTGTAGTTTTGTGTGAAAACAACGCAAAAGCTTACAAAAATAATGTTATAATATATTTCCCAATTTTATTTCAAATTTCTCAAATATGAAATAAGAAATAATTTAATAAATTAATGAAATAATATTTTTTTTATACTTTTATATGTCATATTTTATCATGAATGAAATGAATATTGAGTCATGATTAGACTTAAAAAGTTACTTACTCAAATTCTTAAATAAAACATACTTTGTTTAAAACAATCTTTTAAAACAATCTTTTATCAGAGATACAGTAAATTATTTTAAAAATTTTGTTTATTATTTAAAAAAATGACTAAAAATAAATAAATAAAAAGAGAAAATAATTTTTTTAAGAAAATATTTACTAGAACAAAGTTAATTAAAAGATGTTTAAATAAGATGTAACCTAAAAAATATATATTTTATATTTTTAAGATAAAAAATTATTTTATAAATTATTCTTTTTAGGTTGACACCAAATTATTTAAAAAAAATATATATATTTTATTAGTAATTACTAAAAGTTGATTAAAATTATTTATATAAATAATTTTATTTTAATTTTAAATCTCTCGTATATAAAATGTATAATGATATATTTATTTTTATTCTTAAATATTTCATTTTTAACATGTTTTTCAGGGAAAGATTTAGATTATAATTTGATTCAAATTTTTGTTAGAATATGGTAATTAATGCATTCACATTCTCCATCAATTCCCCTTCATTTTGGATTTTGTGAAGATTCTTTATATTGGACTTAGTAAGGTTGTAACAAGTGAGCATCATGCTGGAAATGTTGTTGATGAGGGAGGATACATGGAAGGTGATTCAGATAGCAAAGAGAAGATGCGTAAGAAGAATGTGTTACTTAAAGAATTCGTGATCTAAGTTAGGGGAATATTATGTGGTATAATCTTTTTATGATTCTTCTCTCTCTTCCTTTATGGTATCCCTTGTCTCTTCTTCTTCTCTAACCCATTCGTCATTCTTCTTCAGGTGTGAACTTTAGTTATTGAGATGAAATCATGATCAGAGAATACATCTTGTTCTGACTATGGTTTCCATTTAATTTTCCTTTGTCATTCTCAATTCTAGTATTCCGGCTATAACAGACTTATCAGTTTTCCATGAATAGCAGTTTGTGAATTCAATCAATCTTTGTTAATTCCATTACTGTTTCATTGGTGCTTTTATTGACTCCAATGGTTGAGAACACTCGATTACGAGAAATTACGAGCCAACTGGCAGCAATCCAGACGTGGATTGATGGATAACATGATAAAGAGCAGATCCAGAATGTTGTCATTGCAAAATTGCAGGAGGCAAATGACAAACGCATTAATGAATTACAAGCTACTATTGAAAAGTTAGTGGACTTACAAACTCAGATCATTGGTGGTGCGAACTCAAGTGGTGGAATTACGTCGATGAAAAAGATCTTTATAGCTTCGCCAGTAAAGGACATTTCCTTAGGATTTCCTCACTATGATGGGTCTACTCCGGTGTTAGAATGGATCTTCAAAGCAGAGAAGTTCTTTAACTATCATCATACGCCTGATGTTGAAAGAGTAGAGATTACAGCGATGCATTTTGAGAAGGAAGTCATTCCTTGGTTTCAAATGCTACAGAAAGTTTCTTCCATACGGTCTTGGTCTGATCTGATTTGCGCATTAGAATCTCAATTTGAGCCATTTCCATTTGATAATCCAATGGCAGAGATGTTCAAATTAACTTAGACAAGTATTGTTTCTGAATACTATCTCAAATTTATGGCATTAGCAAATAGATCTGAAGGTTTGGGAGCTCAAGCTATCCTCAATTGTTTTTTGAGTGGATTGAATAGAGATGTTAAGAGAGATGTTATCGCTCAGAGTCCTACTACATTACTAAGAGCGGTTTCTTTAGCTAAACTATATGAAGAAAAATATATACCTATCAATACCACAAGAATTATTAATTATTCACACATATATTTCCCTACCTCACATACTACTTCTATACACCAATTTCCCAGAACCAACAATAGATCACCTTTAAATACACAAGCCACACCTCTTCAAAGCTTACCCGCATTATTACCTACACCTTCTACTCCACCATTAAGAAATCCAAATGTCAAAAAAATAAACCCTGCCGAGATGCAACTTAGAAGAGAAAAAGGTCTTTGTTATTTTGTGATGACAAATTTACTTTTAACCATAAGTGCCCTAATAGACAATACGTTTATTTACAAATGGAAGAAGAGGAAAGAAAAAATGAGATGGTTGGTAGCCCAGAAGAGGTGTCCGTTGAGAATTCTGATTCTCCCTTATCTGATGAGGCTCTGCACTTGTCATTGAATGCATTAAAAGGATGTTCAGGAATTGGCACTATTAGATTTTTGGCTCATATTGTAACTCTACCTATGAAAGTATTGGTTGATGGTGGCAGTTCAGATAATTTTTTGCAACCACGGATTGCTAAGTTCCTTAAATTACAGGTTGAACAAGCCTCAATGTTTAGAGTGATGGTAGGGAATGGAAATTACATGTTTGCAGAAGGATTGGTTAGAGATTTGACAATTCAAACTCAGGGAACTAAGTTTTAATTGCCTGTGTTCTTATTACCTATTTCAAGTGCTGACTTGATTCTGGGTGCTAGTTGGCTGAAGACAATTGGTGCTCATATTGCTGATTATG